CCCCCTCTAGTCCTGTCCATGTCCTGTCACTTGTAAGGCCAGTTTACCTCCTCACGCTTCTGTGAAGCCTTTCCGCCTGACCCAGGAGGAAGTATTCTCTCTCCCTGAATTACTAAGTCACTCTGGCTTTTCTCTGGCTTTTGGAGACGTGGGTAGACTGACTATCCCTGCAAGCTCAGGGCCTCATGGTGCCTGACACATGATACCTCACTTGTAGTGGGTTTTCATGGACGTGTGGCCAGAAGGATGCAGAGAGGTGATCAGAGGCCTCCTTTTGTGGGTACCAGTAAGAAAGCCTCTGACTCACTGAGCATGGTGGGAACTGGGAAATTTCCCCAGTGACTGTGAAATTATTGTTTCACTTCTTGTCTCCAGAGCCCTTGTTTGAGGACACATCTTTTTTTTGGGGGGGGGGGTTGCTCTAGGGTGTGTGTGCTCGCCAGAAAGACAGAGAGAGAGAGAGAGAGACAGAAAGTGAGAAATCACCCTCTGGGAGGATGGCCACACGGCAATCCCTTCTCCTCCATTCTCCTCTCCAGATCTTGGGCACGCACGTGTGCACATGAGTTTAAGCCACTGGGTCTGGGACTCAAACCGTGGTCAACTACATGGGAGTCCAGCGACATAGCCGTTATGCCAACTGCTGGTCCCAAGAACACATCTTTAATGTGTCAAAATACTCAATCACAGCTAAACCCTAGGACACTGTTGTGGGCTGTGGGTGTGTTCACTCCATTGTGATCTGATCTGTTACTCAGGCTATTCAGCGATACTGCTCCAAGTTGGACACACAGAAGTCAGAGCTAAACAGAACCTCATTCGACTTTAGACTACTTGAATACTTCTCATTAAAAGGATTGCTCACTGAGTCTACACAGGATTCTGTACTCAGCTCTATCTTTGCCTCCTCCCTCATGTCCCTCCATTGCCACGTCTCTGTGTCCTTGCTCTGGGCCTTGTTTCAGTATTGTGGGCATTCAGAATACCCCAGCCAGGGCTCCCAGCCTGCACATTCATACCTGTGATAAAGTGGGTGGGACTTGGGAGATGAGACGCGGCCTAGGTTGGTACGAAGTGCTAATGCCACACAACTGTTACGGTTACTCTGTCTCCCGAGACTTAGCTGGCTTCAGCTTTTGCACATTGAAATCCAAGTCCAAGCTTCCTAGCCACATGCCCTTGGGTAGTTGGAATGACCTTGAGATGCCAGGTGTTCCCTTTACTCTTATCAAACCCCTTTGAGAGAGAGGAGACTTATTTCCCAACTTCTGGACAAGAGGGGAGTGGACTCCAGCCTGTGCTATGCAATGGGACCTTCTGCAGTGACAAAAATACTGTCTGTGCTCCTTTGCAGGAGCCACTTGATGCATGTGGCTCGTGAGCCCTTGAGGTGTGGCTAGAGTGAATGAGGAGCCAAATTCTTCACTGTATGTCATTTCAATGAATTTAAATGTAAATACCTACATGGTTACCGTATTAGGCAGCCCAGATCAGGAGTTGGGGCAAGTGGAAGCTCACCAGGAGCCAAGCACAGCCCTATGGAGAGGGCCCTAACTGGGAATGCCTTCTGTGTGGCCTACAGGGGTCTCCATGTGGCTGTCCAAATCAGAGCCTATTTGACCACACGTGGCCGCCACCTGGACTGTTTGGATGTTTCAGGGAAACTCTTGCCGTGCTGCTCTGAGGACAGCATTGTTTAGTCTTTATTGTTCTGTGTCCTTTCAGGATGGCTGACACCATATTCCCCTCAGCCATGATTCCTTGAGTAGATTCTACATCCAGCTTCCTTTACCCAAATGACTATTTAATTGGAGGACCAGGGACTGATAAAGAGGAGGCTGAATAGACTGTATACAGATTGGAACTTGGGACTTTATTTTTTAAATTTTTGCCAGATGGCAGGCACACTTACTGGTGAGAGACAGAGAATGAGGGAGGGGAGAGTGAGAAAACACCCCTCCCCTTGCCATGGGGCATGGTCTTGCTGCAATCACTTCTCCTCCAACTCTTCCTCCTTTTGGGATTTTGGGTATGGATATGCACCTGGCTTCTCTCAAGCCACCATGCTGCTGCCTGTCCCCCACCTCCCATAGCTCCCCTACTCCCCCACCAGCCTTCCTTTCAGCATGATTTCAAACATACACAAATCAGGAGGCTGGGCACAGGGAATGTCAGGGCAAGGGTGGAGGGGAAGGCGAAGGTGGTGGGAAAGTGCGTGGACAGGCAGGCTCCTACCCCTACAGCCAAGCAGCACCATGTTCTGGGAAGGCTTCCCAGTGTTCTGACACCATGGGGTAGCCTGGGGGTCCTCCTGGCATCTTGTCCTGATGCAAGCATAGTGGTACCCCCATCCTGCCCTGCCACTGTGGGGCTTTTAAACGGCATCTCAATGGCAGCACCTGTTCCAGTGACCAGGGGGAGGTAAGAGTGGGATAGATGGCTTCTAGTGAAGGAGGGAAAAGAAACCCCCAGCAGCCCAGCGACATCTACTCAGAGACTAGTGATGCCTGCGTTCAGGGCCACTCATAGTTTGAGTTCCCAGGACAAGGAAGGTACCAAAAATACTCTCACAGCCAGGTACACCCCACCACCCAGTATGGCATTTCTGTCCCCAAAACCCAGGTGACTACATCTTAATTTCATTTCCATATCTGCTTTCAGCAAGAAGCCAGTGTCCCAGTTTTGAGATCATTAGAATTTTCTGAGATACACTGTTTTTTCTTTTTTGTTCATTATTATCATTTCTTTTTTTTTTATTTTAACCCTAATCAGACTAAAGATAATTAGAACTCTTCTACTGAAGTTTCAGTTTTCCTTCTGTTTTTCTGAGCTTTTCAGTATGGATTGCACATTTTATTTTATGATAGCAATATATAATAATCTGTGTTCAGGAAGTCTTGGCCGTGTGCCAGGTACTCTTCCACGCAAACTTACTATCAATAAACTAAGTTACTTCACGCCTCAATCTCATGAAGTAGTTGGTATTTACCACCCCACTTTTATAGGTGAGGAAACTGAGTCTGAGAGGTTGAGAAACTTGCCCAGAGTCACACAGGAGTTAGTGGCAGGGCTGGCCTTTGATCCAGGCTGCCCAGCTCGAGAGCCCATGCTCCTAGCAGTAGAAAGGACACCCTTCAGCCTTATTCTCATGAAGACATTAAAACTTTCTATTTCTTGATCACCAGCTAGAGTTAAGAGAGAAATGGTCAGTAAGTACAAGAAGGAAATGATGTGGAGGAGTGTAAAATTTCTCTTCCATGAGGCAGAGCTTTATAAATGAGACCTAAAAATTCACACTGATAAATATAGGTTTTTAATTGGGTATAAGTTATTCCACATAATGGGCCAGAGATCTAAGCAGAAGTTCTCCCAGGAACAGTGTAAATCATTAAGTGCTCAGGAGGAGGTTGTTTCAGGAATTTCTCTACCCACTGGGAGTTAGTGTTACAAAGGATGGGGTGCCATTTTCCTCAATTTCTTTAATACTTTGGGTCCTTGCGTGTGTGTTTAGACAGAAAAAAAAGAAAAAAAGGTTGAAAGATCTAGCAGGTGGCATCGAGGTTTAGGCAGCTAGATCCCACATAGCCAACTGTGTGGTTCAAGTCCCAGACCTGGCAGCTTGAAAAACATGTGGGGTGTGTGTGCATGCCTGGCTCAAATCTCAACGGGAGAATGGAAGAGGAGGGGTTGCAGCATGTCCATTCCCTTGGGGGGTGGTGGTGATTTCTTACTTCCTCTCTCTCTCTTCAGTGAGTGCATGCACCCTAGAGCAAACCAAAAATGGAAAAAAAGATTGAGCACTATCACTTAATAATGTTATTAGAAGAGAAATACTCAGAAAGTCAGAACAACAAGCCTACAAGGAGTGGCTAAGCCCAGGTGAATCCCAGGTGTTCCATTGAGCAACTTTTGGTCTCTCCCTCCTTGAGACCCTCCTCAGCAGTCCTGCAGCTGAGTGGTGTTGGGTTGTAGGTGACTCCTGATGGACGGATACAATGTGAAACTGCAGGATTCTTCAATGTCCTGTCATTTTGACATTTTCACATACTGTCCTGAGGTGCTGAGGAGGCGTAGGTAACAGGAGAGATGGAAGGCAGCTGAGATCTTTGTGCTGGAAGTTCAGACACCAACTCAGTGAGGTCTTTCACCAAACCCAGCGGGCATTCTTTTGCCCTCTTTTCTGGACCAGATGTCTGTCATTGCAGGGATGCTAAAGTAGATGTACGCTGGCTGAGGCAGTGAAGGGGATTCACTCACTCTGGGGCAGGCAGGCCTGAGGGGCAGTTCGACTTGGTGACTCTGTGCAGAGCCCCATTTCCTTATTCCTGCTCCCTCTGCCCACCTCCCATCTCCTCATGTTTCCAGCAGGGCTGTCGGCTGTTCCAAGCACTGCGTGTTTCCTCAGCCTGCTGGGTGGAGGGAGTGAGGGGGATGGATGCTCTTGCCTAAGAACATCTTTTCCCAGAACCCCTTTGGGCCTAGTTGGATCGTGCATCCTCTCTTCAGTCAGTAACAGGGATGGGTGAGGCTGATGGCCAAAGGCCTGTGGTGGAATCAGGTTTTCCACAGGCCTAGATCTGTGATAGAAGTTGTGGGCTCCCACATAAAGATTGGGGTAGTCCCTAGACAGAGGGCAGATACTGGGGAGGAAAGTGCAACTCTCACCGCTCTTTCTATAACATATCAATCCAGCATGATATAGTTACAGGTGTAGTTTTCTACTAGGAGAAAATGACCATGTTTGAAATATTTCTTTTTACTACTTTCTGAGCCTTAAATCGCCTACGCTTCTTTTCATCCTGCTCTTCCTTTCTCCCTTCCCTTTCTCATTGCCCTTCCTCCTATTCCCCGTCCTTTCATCCTCTCCCTCTGGTCTCTCCTCCTCTACTCCCCACCATCCCTTCTCGATGATCTAGTCATTTATTTGACTCAACTAAATTGGCTCAGCACCGCTTAGTTGCTTACTAAGTGAAAGGTCTTCCTGTTTGCTTCCTAGGAAGAAGAGATGCCAGATGTTGAAATTGACATTGATGATCTTCTCGATGCAGACAGTGAGGAAGAGAGAGCTTTAAAATTGCAGGTAAGCAGTTTTCAGAATCTAGAACCTTCTGATCATGGGTGTTTGAATCCACTCGGGTCCCCAGAGCTGGGCATGACCCGATCCCTCCTTGTGGTAGTATGGGTACCAGGTCTGGGGCAGTGGTGGTTTGTGGAGAGGAAAGTAATAGGGTGCTAAGTATTCACCCTCATAAACTGCACCTCTGATGCGAAAGGAGCTGTTGAATATGGCCAGTTCTCAAAGCACCTCGTAGATGTGACTTTCTCCACCCTCATTTGCTTGGGAGAGACAGCTGGTTTTGCCTCCAAAGATCCATTTGCCGGGGAAGAATTTATGCTGGCAGTTGTTTGAGAAGGTGAGGGACTGAGCTAGCACTGGGATGTCCAAGCCCAGGGCTCTGGTCTTGTGTTTTTGTGTCACACATGAAATGAACTTCTAGATAAGATTGCTTATATCCTTTATTTAGTGAAAAATCATTTAGTAGATTATGCTCACCTGATAGTGTCCTAGTACAACCATGGGTGTTGAGATATCTAATGTTTTCTTAGAGAAGAACATGAACTTCTTATTTCCTTTCCCATGGGAGGTTGAACCTATCATTTTAAAATCTCCATTTGGGAGTTGCTAAAACCAATTACTTTGAACCTGCTGTTGTTCTTTATGATCACTGATAAATACGGTTAATGGCTGTTGGTTATCACCAGTGCCAAATGGGCAATCAGAGGGCACATTTTAATGTACTAAGATGTTTAGTGTCCCTAGGGGGGCAAATTACCTTAGTTATAATAATTATTTCTTGTTGGTAGATTTAGTTGGAAGATAATAACATCCTAATGATCAAAGTTAAAAAAAAAAAAGAAAAAAAAACAGGTACCAGGTCTATCACATAAAAAAGATAATGACATAAATAATTTCTTAAAAGTGGGGACTTTAAAGAGGCCCCCCCCTTTTTTTTGGCTGTCGTCAGGTCATTCGAGCCTTGGTTTCCAGGTGAGGACACTGGAGCTGGCGGAAGTTGAGCCCCAAGCTGATAGGTGGTTGAATCATGCCCAGAGCCCTTTCTTCACGGCCACTGTCACTGTCACCACCTTGTGCAGGCTGTTTTAATCTTTCTGGTTTAATAGTAACCAAGTTGGCAGCCCAAAGGCAGGTGTGTGCGTGCCTGTGTGTGTGCACATGTGGACTAAAGAGCAAAGCATTCC